TATTCCTTTAAATAAAAGAAAAATCAAATTTTCACTTTTTAAATAAAATTTTTCTATAAAGTTTTCGGCTGAAAGAATTAAGAAATATGAGAAATGATAACGAAAATTCAGGTAGTTTAATTACATTTAAGGAAAATCCCGAAAATCTCTATTTATTAATGCTTTCAACTCATTTGACTGTAGGGGTAAATGGGGCAGCTTCAGATTGGGGCAGCTTCAGATTTCTTAATTTTCTCAGTGATTTTCAAATGAATAAATTCCTGGTCTTCACACAATGTTTGTAGTCCTTAAGGACTACAATTGACGAAAATTTGCACAGGATTGCCTTGACTGTTTAGATAAAATAAGTGAAAATTGAAAATCACGCACAAACTAGAATTTTGCTGCCGATTTGATTGCGTGTTTTCTCCATTAAAAAAGCCACAATTCGCGTGAAACACAATCAAAGGTTATTGAGAATTAAGTAGAGATTCTAAATATGCCCGAACTTTTCCTCCTTGGCACGGCCTTTTCAGTGGGTGGTGGAAAATGCACAAACACTGCCCACGGGGCAGCTTCGGATCGCCACGGACTGACAACAGCGCGCTCTGACAGTCTGACGCAACATCACGGTCGAAATTTTCTTGTGGCAAATATTGAAGATTTTTCACAAAGTGCCGTTCTGTGCTGCATTGCTTCATCACGTTAAACGACTTCTTAGTGGAAAAGTGTGAAAATACACGCGAAAATCACTGATTAGAGCAGAATTTTCGAGAAGCACATTTTGCGCGGCACTTTCGCGGCGCGTCAAGTTGCCACCACTCACGCATGGTGGCGTTGCGATACAGGAAAAATGACGGGCAACTTGCTTTTCGCTCAGAAATTTTGACAGTGCGTGCAAGGGTCCAGAAAAGTCGCGAAAATATTACTTTAAAGGCGATTTTTAGCGAAATAAACAGTTTCAGTGCGTAGAATAGATATCAAAGTGATCATTTGTCCGCGATTCTACAATTCCACAATGGAATTTAAGGTAAATATCAGTGAAAATCTGAAACTGCCCCAGAGAAATCCGAAACATCCCCGTGCGGGGCAGTTTCAGATAAATTACAATATTATTTTCATTCTCCTTTAGAGGAAAAAGGATCAGTTTTAATGCCCAATGAAAGGCATTTTCTGAAGCTCAATAGACGAGAGTTTATTTGAGCGTTGTGATCATTTCAATATATTCAGCCGATTTTTCAAGAAAAAATCCTAAAGTTTGAACAGCATTTTGAATCTGAAGCTGCCCCACTTACCCCTAATTTAAGACGATTTTCTATGAAAAATTTACAACGTAAATAATTAATAATCAACTTTTCATAGTTTAACATCCCAAAGAATATAATTTTTTCCATTTAAGTTCTTTCGATTAAAAGAATGTCAGTTTTTTGCCCTATTAAATACAAAGTTGATTAAAAAAAAAATGTTTAAGTATTTTAGGAGGCAATATTGAAAGTTAAATGTGTCCATAAAGAACTTCTTCCCATTAATACATACTTATTTTGTTAGTTAAATATGATTGCTTGTTAATGCTCTCTAAAAACCTGCAAGAGAATTCTTTAAAGCAAGACTTTGCTGGTGAATTCGCCTCGCTAAAATGAACAACTTGTGAGAATATTAACTATCTTTTGAATGCGCAAAATTACCTCAAAGAGTTGAAATTAATATCAAAATTTCGTCTTGAGAATCTCTGACGGAAAACTTGCTTCCTGGAAAAGCCAGAGTCAAAAGCTCTTTATCATTAAGTTCACTCATCAATAGTAATTGCCAATAATCCTATTAGAAATACGGATCAAGGCTTATTTCCAAACACTGGCGAAGATTAAAGCATCTGCTTAAGTGTTTTTCCTGATACATTTTGCACAGAAAAGTTAAAGATTCTTGTATTTAAATGCATTTAGAGGTAAGAAATAGATATTTTCGGGCATTTTTTGTCTTCTAGGAGACTGAAAAGCATGGAAAATAATCAATTGCACTCTAATAGAATTCTCAAATTGATTGATATTATCGAAGGAATCGAGTTTCTGTTCCATAATTGCCTCTGATTCGCACAATTGTGCGCCTCTTTCACACAATCTTGTGGCTTTCTGTAACTTCACTTTGGAAATTAAACCAAATTCGCTCACCTAAACGCTGTTAAATTTTGAATTTTCTGCTGAAACAGAATCTCTCGTGCTAAATCCTGTTTCACTTAACGTGGTAACTTTGCATTTCACACACAAACACACACACACAGAGACTTTGGAACTGGAGTTGTTTTCCACCGCAGAACTTCTCAAGACGGCGCGGTCAATTCGGACTAGGAGGAAAGGCTGGTGATGGACAGCAGCACAGTTTCTGGGCACCTCGTCAGCACTGCCGAAGAGCGAGAGCGAAAGAGGGAGAGAGCATGAGATTTTGTAAAATGCTGAGAATTTTACTTTTACTTTCCAGGCCGCGCGAAGTGGTCTTCAGGTTCGCGAGTGTGCGAGAGAAAGAGAGCGCGAGGAAATGGAAGGAAAAAAAGCGTGTTGTAACAAGCCAGTGAATAGGTGTCTCTCTGTGTTTGTTGACGCGCTATTTTAACAATTATTTACAACACTGGCGGAAACATTGGCAGGGACATATTGACAAACATTTGTGTGGAGGAAGTGCGCGCGGTTCAACACAGGCGAAGCCACTCCGTTGTCAGCACTTTTGGCATCTCGCGTGAATTTTAGGTGGAATTTAAAAAAAAAAGGAAGCACTCATTGCTTTATGGATTTCTTTGTCACAGCGATTTTTGCTACATTTTCAACAAAATACTGCGGCTGTGCTTATGTGTCCGTATTTGTGCAAAAACAAAGTAACACAATAATAAAAATTTATGACAATGAGTGACATTTCAAGTCTGCACCAGACTTTAATTGGATGCCAAATTGTTTATTATTCGTGTCGAGGTTACATAAACACGTGCGATTGTAAGTTGACGTGCTTCTGATATTCAATTGTCTTCTCCTCTTCCCCAAAACTGGCCCGCAAAGTTACCTTTCGCGAGTAACTTCCAGTTCTCTCTCCGGTCAGTGTCTCGACAGAAACTCTGTTTTCTTCAAACCCAACTATAGAGTCTCATTTGGACAGCTCACTGACCTAGGCTTGATCTTGAGTCAAAGGCGAAATTCATAGGATTTTTGTGCCAAACCGGACGTGATTAAATTATATCACAAAAATAATCTACATTCGTTTTGATGGCGTGAATTAGAAAATTTTCCATTGTAACCTTCGCGAAATCTTGATTATGAGTTAGATTAGTTTTTTAAATTGTATAACAAACAATTAACAGATGATTGCCTATCCAGGATTTGATCCAGATTTGATTACAAAGTCATTGAGTTCATCGAAATCTCCACTAAATTTATTTTATTAGCGTTCAATGGCAAGTTAGAGCAGCTAAAGCAATTGCTGTTGAATGTTCTAGCTGAAACATACGCTTCACTGGAATTGTCTTCCACGCTCTGTTCTTAATATATAAAGGTAGACTTTAGAACCACTTAAGGTTGCTCGGCAAAAACTTATCACGAAGTTTTCTTTGAATGGAGAAGGCTTTGTTCCTCAATGGGACGTTAAAGCTACTTGTATACTATAAACGATGCTATAGAACCTATAAAACACCTGAATTTTGAATCTAACCACTTTGATTAACACAATTTCTTACGATTTCCGCTTGAAATTGATGGAATTTCGATCAATCGAGCCCTATTTATTCCTTTTCATTCAATTAAGCCGTGTCTTTTGAACATTCCAAACTCCTTTACCGCAAACTATAATCCATATTTCTGATTGGCTGCAGAAGTACAAAAGCGCCATTGAAAATTTGATTGAAATTTAATAGCACAACTGCATTTATTGTCAAATACTTGACAATTGTATAATATTTTTCAACATGAAGCATCGCATGAATTTTGTCCCATGAAATAAACATTAAAGCCACAATTGCATCCCTTTGTGGAGTCATTTTTTAAGAGCTGCCATGAATTTTCCAACCCCACACGAGGCATTTCAATTTTATCGCTCTTGCGGCGGAGAAAAACACCCAACGAGAAACTATATTTTCGGACAATCAATTTGCCAGCTTTACAGGGAGTTTCACAGAAAGAGAGAGAAAAAAAAGTAAAAGTCATTTTATAACTGTCCCACTTTTAGCAAAAATAAATATCACGCAATGACTTTTGTATTTGCCACTGTTGGACACTTGAGGGCGAGCGTCTAGAATTGTTCGCGTCACTGTTTATTTTGCTGCGATTGGACTTTTTGGGGCTTTTTTCCTCTCTTGTGTTGCTGAAAAATTTGTCGAAACGTCAAAAAAAATTTTCTACGCACACAAGCGCGCGCGTGTGTGAAATCTTCTTGATTTTGGCAAGGAGTGAGAGAAAGAAAGAGAGGGCGAGAGTGAGACAATGGCCTAAGATTTGCCAATGTAATTTTACTGTCTAAATTGCTATTTTATTGGCACTTTTTACACCGCCGCCAGTCGATTAAAAACACATCGGATCGAGTTTTTCTAGCCATGAAGTCTCACTGTGATTAATCACGAGACGGTTTTTCACAGCCGCAATTTCACTCGTGTTTTGTGAGTGATTGAAAAACAAAAGAGATGCGAATATTCTCGTGATTCGGACGCGCGAGGCTAGAAAGTTTCAACTCCGAAAAGCCACAAAAGATCATGCCTTGCTGTGCATTTTCCTCTCTGTTTTTCGTCGCGCGGCAAATGTCTTCTTGACACACAAAACTTGGCCTTCTTTTCCATCCGCGCCACTGTTGGCGTTGTGCAACGCAGTTGGCTGACTTTTCGCGGAATTTTCCCTCGAAATTTCGCCCCTTCTGGTGAACTTTTTCGCCCCCCCCCCCCCAAGAGTTCATCCCCGTCGTGGCGCCCCAAAATAGCGCGAGCGAGACAGACTGATGGGAAAATTTCAACATCGCACAAGAGACGCTTTAAGGGTGGAAATTAAGGGCACACTTACATGTTTTTCTTCTTCTCTCAGTTGCGAGTCGCGGCGGAGCAGAAACTGCACGGGAAAGATGTGAAAACCATCGCGAAGCAGAATTTCAGGGCTGAAGAAAGAGGGTTGCAAATTGGATCCTTGTGTGTCACCACTCAAAAACGCCACGAAGGGTGATAAAAAGCGACAGAGAGAGAGGGACAGAGAGTGTGACAGAGAGGGCGCGAGAGCAAAGAAGGGTGTTTTTCCTAACACACACAATTATTATCTCTCTATGCGTGACGTTTTCCTCCGCAAATCCTGCGGTGCCAAGGAAATCCGTCCTTCACTGCCTTTTCCGACGCACGAGAACGCACACTTTTAGCACATCGCGCGAGTGTCACGCGTGAGGCTCACACTTTTGGGCCACGATTAGGCACACGCCCGAAAATTTTCTCCCTCGAAATCTCGTGTTACAAAAGTCGAGACATTCTCTCACTACCACCACTACTGCTAAAATGCCAATTGACACTGCTTTGGGGGCTTTTTGTGCAGCACTTTCGGCCTCTTTCGCGCACTCTTCGCGACGCTCTGGTACTTCACTTTGGGCGGGAATCGATGTTGTGCTAGAATTTCATCGAAAGCAGCAGAAAATCCCATTTTCAGGGCAATTTCGAGGAGAATTTTCACTGCTAAATCAGTTTTTCGAAAAGGATTCGCGCTGAAATAAGAGAAAATGCCGAAAACTTTACTCATTTTCTCATCGAAAAACTCGTTCCCGCTCATTTTCAATACCACAAAGTTGGCAATCGTGCGTCTTTTGACTCCTTTGACGTATTGTAAGTGTCATAAAAAACATGCACTGTAAAAAAGCCAAGATTACTTTCATTTTCCTCTCAAGAACCTCGAGTAGAAAGCAATTTTATCTGTAAATAAGTTTCAAAAGCACACAAAATTTAACAACTAGAAAGCGTTGATCATGAATTCTCCCTCTAACGATTACACGCTCGGTTCATAACTGTCACATCCGAATTTACAGTGTCAAAACGACGTGTTCGAATTCGAGTGGAATGTCACTTTCGGTCGAAACTTCAGTGAGTGTTGAAATTTGTAGTTTTTCTGTATATCGCGAGACAAAGTGTGAATTTCCCAGAATTCTCCAGTTCCTCCGCTCAGTCAGGCGTCGCAGATCCCATCCAGGCTCTCCTCGCAAGATGTTATGAGGCGGGCTGTCCCTTCGCCGCGGCCCGACGATGAATCTTCAGTCGCTGATTAAGGACTTCAATCCAAGGTGAAATTCGACTCTCTCTCTCTCTCTCTCACTCTCCAATCCCACTGACCCCAATTTGTCCGGACTCTTGCAGCAAGTTCATCGTCCACAGCAGTCTGCTCCTGTTCACTGTCCTGTTCTGCCTGCGCATCGATGGCTTCATTGGTAGTGGAGGAGCGCCCCTGGCGCCCCCTTTGTCGCCGCTCCTAACACTGTTCCTCTTGCAGATTGGCCCTACTGGGCCATCTTCAGTCCGCTGTGGATCTGGAAGGCCATCGCGACGCTGGGCGCCACCGTGGGCGCCGTGGTGTGGTGCCGCTATCCGCACTACAGGATCGAGGGCGACTCCTACGCGCACTTCAAGGCCATGCTGATCTCGCTGTCGCTGCACCTCATGCTGCTGATGTTCGAGCTGCTGTCCTGCGACCAGCTGAGCTCCGGCAACCACCTGTGGGTGCTCGTGTTCATTCCCTTGATCTTCGGCAGCGTGGCTAGCGTGGGGGCGTGCGTGTGGGCTGTGAAGCACGACAGGTCCTTCGAGTTGGAGCTCTTCTTGGCCGTTAACACGCTCCAATTCGTGTTTCTGCCGCTGAAGCTGGACGACTTCGTCGGCTGGCGCTGGGAGATCGTCTTCATCCCCTTCTGGATTGTGCTGTGCCTGAGTCTCATTGGTGTGCTGTACAACATCATCTTCTGCGGCATCCTGCTGCGGACGCCCGAAGTTTCTGCCGAGCAGAAGCGCTCCGCCGTTAATTCGGCCATCGGCAACACGCTGTGCGTGGTGTGCATCCTCGCCTTCCAGGTCCTCATCGCCGACAAGCTGGACGGCGACCTGAACTGGCCGCTGATCGCCGTGGCTGGTCCACTCCTCATGGCTCTCTTCATCCTCATCCTGCTCAGCTTTAGCGCCAAGGGCGGCAACAAGTGGTGGTTCGGCATCCGCAAGAACTTCAGCCAGTTCATCCTCAGCTCACTGCCGTGCCTGCAGGAGTACGGCAACATCGCCTATCACATGGACAGCGGCCAGAATGTTCCGCTCGACGCCACGAATCACGTCCAAGTGGATCAGCTGTACGGCAAGAAGGCGCAGAAGATGCAGAGCAGCAAGAATGACCACCACAAGCCCGTCGTGCCCATCATCAACATCGATCTCCCGGACTGAGGGATCGACCACTTCCTCCCCCGACCACTCTTCACGCGCACGCTAGGAATGTTTGTACATAAAAAGGATCGTTTCGCTGTTGATTTAACAAATTGTAGCATTAGCCAGAGTAACAACATATTGTATATTAGTTGATCGCCAAAATATTTTATACATGATTGCATAGATTTAGAACAAATTAAATCAATATATTTTACGCATAAAAACCTGCCTTTTCCACTAATCCCACTGAACTGGGTTGTGACTGCCAGATAGTGCTTATCACACAGGCGATTCTGTGATTTGATAAGCATTTGGGCCGAAAAAAGGTCTTTGAACTTAGATGATTAGCTTATTTAGCACAAGAGGTAAAAAATTCCGTACATTTTGTACAAGATTTCGTATCATTTGTTCGATTTGTATGCGAAAAATACCATCAAATCTTAAGCAAAAGCGGCTCTTTCTGCAAATTTATCAATAAATTAGCGCTAATTTCTTGTGATTACAATAAAATCAACGGTCAAGAAATTTCTTTTTTTTAAATTACAGTCAGTAAAAATCCGTTTGAAAAGAATTTGAATTTTTTTCTGAATCTTAATTTTAAAAATATTAAAAACACTGAGAAAGAAGGCTATAAATGTTATTCGGATTGAGTATAAGAATTTGATTCTTTATTGTCTTTATTTTAAGACATTTTTAAGAAACTGAGATCTAGTTTCCTTCTTGATCTTCTTATGTACTCTGAAAATTTATTCATTAGTAATAAGGAAAACATCTCCACTGAATTATATTTGTCTGTTGAAAATCTTTCGATTTTTTCGCTCTGCACATCGATTAATCTATCATGAAGCCAAACTATGGTAAAAAATGCTTTGGAACTGAGCTTTAGCAATCACGCTTCACTTCTCTGTTATCAGAAGAACAAATCTTGACAGTGTTTCGTTAATGGAATTATAGGAATTGTGAGAGGATTTGGCTGTTCGTGGTCGCGATACGGCCGTGCTTAAGTGAAATGAATGCAGAGTGGCGGTTGTGATCAAATAGAATTTGAATATCTTGCCAAATATTAGCCTAAATGGATAGTATAAATATTATACTGTGCACACCGGCGCTCTTGAACCGTTGTCACTTCCGCTGAGCGCGAACTTTTGCATGCGACAAAATTCAGTTTCAACTTATAATTTAATGTCATCAGAATTAACATGGAGGATTTAATTTAATTGCAGCGCGACGACCAAAAATTTCGCATTGTCTTCTCCTGGGGGGGAGGAAATGCACGAGGGGTGGGAAGTGAAATTGTGCTGAGAAAGTGATGGTGAAGAAGCGCAGAACTGTGGAGGTTAATAGATCAGAAGTTGTTGATATTGTGCAATTTTAAAAGAAGGGTTTTGCACAGCTCTATCGAAAAGAATATCCACAAGTTTTGCTTGCGTACTTCTTTTCTCCTCCCTCCGCCAACCACCCTTTTGTGCGCCGCGAGAGGAGAAGGGAAAGTTTCTGCATGGCATTGCGAATGAAATAAGATCCGAAACCCACAATCAGATGACACAGTTTCCGTCGTTGGGCCGCTGAGGGTATAAATTCAATGCAGTGTGTGAATGTTTCTGAAAACTTTGCCACCCCCGCGATGGCACATGAGGAGGGAAACTCTGCCAAAATGTATTTCATTCCTGTGCGGCTCCTTTTCCTTTTTTGGGGGTGGGGTTTTCTTGTGGGCGGCGCTAGGGCACGGATGGCAAGAGCAATATTTACGACTTTAGGTGGATTGGAATTAATTTCATTGAATTCAATACGGTTGGAATTCAGCATACATTCGCGCGCGCCATTCACCTTTTGCCAGAGGCAAACGCCACCATTAGTGGGTGCGACCCCCGGACTTTCTAAGGGGGTTTGGCGGCAGGAGTGCTGAATGGCGACGTGAAATATTGGTGCTGGAGCCAAGAAAAAGAGTCAATTCACCACACTGTCTCTATATCCACTCTGGATATGGGATTAAATTGCGAAAATCCACCCCTCAATGCACACACACACACACCCCCAAGTGCTGTCGATGCTTCCCAATCATTGCGCCGTAATTAACACTTTTCCGCCAAAAGACAGTGGCATCTGGTGAGGTATTTCGTGTCGCGAGCAATTAAGACATTCATTGGCACTCTCTTGTCGGCACTTGTGTGTCTTCAGCGACGATTCCTTATCAATAAAGCGTGGGAGACAGTAATTGAGTGGAAAAGATATTGAGCAGCAAGAGGAATGCCTTCATTCTCAAGCGTATTCATTCTAGCTAATCCTTCGACAGTAGAAGAACTAGGAGACACAAGAGCAATTCATTTCATTCATTTGAGCATTACACAAGGGGGAGATATTACAGTCAGAACTGAAAAGTGTTCAAAAACATACAATATTCCTTTCATGAGTGCTTCTTTTACTCACTAATTGTCTCAATTCTTTGGCTTTCTTTTGATTTCAACGTAGAAAAAGTCATAAGAATCGTTTTTATAGGTTATGGCAATAAGTCTAATCAAATGAAAAGATAATATGATTTATTGTTAATTTTATTTTCTCAAAACATATTAAGGTATTTTCAAGATTCATTTTCTTTAATATTTAATTCCAAACCTTAGGATTTATTGAGAAATTTGAATGTGTTTGAAGTGTTAAAAATCCTGTACAAAAAAATTGTAGAAATAACAGAAAGTGCTTGTTATCTCTCTTAGACACGCCCACTCGCAAGCTCCGCCTCTTCTGATGTGTAATCATGGAATTTAAACCCCCAAATCACCTTACAATTTCATGTAAATGCACATGATTGAGAAGTTGTGTATCTTTTTGGAATATTTAACATATTTTCCATCAAGTTGCATTTGTAGAAATTCCATATTGTGTCGAGTGCCGAATAAACCCCACAAATTGAATGGTAAACAATTTATCGGCGGTGGAGGAGTACAAGAGAGCTTCGCCGAAGAATATGCTGATGATGATGGGCGTGTGATTCATGAAATATGAATTTTATATTCTACCCTGTGACATGGCAGAAGGTGTGTATTGCCAACTGTCGATTTGGGGATGATGTATTTGTGAGGGTGGATTTGCCGCGTCTTCCGCGGCGGGAAAGCACTTTTCGATATATTCTGTCTCTGCTACAATATTTATTCTCATGTAATACACTTGTATGCCACTGTGACATGACGGGGAGGCATCATTTATTACTCCTTCGCACTCAATTCTGGGGGTGATTTTGCTGCACCGCAGCAAATATGCAAAGGTTTTGTCGCTGCAAACGGCATTCTGATGTGACAGTGCATAAGATTAAATCTCAGGTTGAGATGCAGAGATGCTGAAAAGTGTGAGTTATATGAGATGCGAAGGAGTTGTCCGTGGAAAGATGCAATACAGATCGTGACATCCTCGACGGTGTGTGCAGACAAACACCAACAACAACAACTGCATGTTGGGAATTATTCATGGGAATTTATGGCGCACATGCAATGATGAGCTGCTCCTTGTGAGAAGGATTCGCCACAATATCTTGTGGAGGATGCAGAACAATATTTACCACACACATTTCGTTGCTCAATAGAAGACGACAAAACCCAACTGAAAATATGAGCGCATTATTCCAATATCTGGAGTGGCGCTAATAGATTTCCACATATCGATTGAGTGTGATAAAAATGGTGGTGGAAATTCTCACCACGCTTTTGGGCAAAGAGGGAGGAAGAGATATGAAGGCGAATTTGCATGTATGAGAAATTTGAATTGCAGATATTGAAATTGGTTTGTCTGCCTCGAAAAGTTATATTGATATCCTTTCTTCGCTTTTGTGTATGCTTTTCTCATGTGAAATTATTCACATATTCATCTTGTCTTTCTCGCTCACATTGCAGAAAACAGACAAAAAAAAATATAAAGAAAAGGGATAAATTCACTTTAGTCTAATGAATTGCTTTCTCTATCAACAACATATGTAGACATAAAAGTCCTCTTTTTTTTGATCCACCACGTCAGCATTAAATGCGAGACAGAAAATTGAATTATTCAAGAGATAGTTTCTGTCTATTAGACAAAACTTTAATCATCCCCTGTAATAACATCACCCTGGGATGATTGGTATTGATTAAAAAGTTTGCAATTTCCGTGAATGTACGCGAGAGCAAATAAAATCAGATGAAACACCTCTTTATGAAAAATTTATTATTCTCAACAGCAATTTAAATAGAATTTTCGTGTCATGTTGAAACTTTTCAACAATTAAGCGAACATGTTCCGGAGCAAACTTTCACCTCACACCGCATTTCATTTTTCACCCCCATCGCTTTGTTAGCATATATTAATGGGAAATCAATGATTCTCTCTCTCTCTCCACAGGGTTGCAACATTATTTGGATAGATTATTGTTGAATTCATTCAACACCAAATCCATTTATACGTGATTCACAAAATTGTCCGCGATTATAAATCCGTGATTGATGAACATGAGGTGAAAATATTGCTGAGAAATACACAAATTTTCGTGGAAATAAAATTATACTCCAGAAGAAAGAATTGGCACAGAATCAAAAGCTCTTATTTTCCATCATTGACAACATTTTGTCACATTGTTTTGAATTTATGGTGAATTGTGTAGGTTTTTTCGTGTTGCAAAAAATATAAGTTATAAATAATCAGGAAAAATTGAGATAAAAACAATTTTTTCTAACCACGAAAATCAAAAAAAAAACCCAGCGAGCACAAAATACTAAGATTTCAAAGATAAGAGTATAAAAGCTATTTCTTTCGATTGCTAAGATTCATTGATAAGTTGTGAAAATTGATGGGAAATTAGCAGAATATTTGGCTTGAAATTGATGTGTTTGTAATGCTTTTGGCATTTGCAAAAATTAGCAAGTTATTTTCCAGTTCCACACACGTTTTTTGCGTAAAAACTGGCGTAAAACCGTAAATATCCGATTATGGATTAAGTATTACAGCTATATTGTATATTAATTGGCATTTGGAAGCTTTTCAACTGAGAAATTTTCTTTCTACTATTTTTTTTTAATAAATAACAATATAAAATATATGTTTATTTGTCGTGAACAACTGCGAAAGATTCACGAAAACGTAAACGTTTTTCGAACATCTTCTCACTTTTTAACAAAAAATACCTGCCTTTTTTCAGTGTGTTTGTGACTCACTGAGCAATCACATGCTAATTTTCTGAGCTTTTGCCAAATTTTCTTTATCTCTC